TCCCCTAACAATGTGAGATCTCCTCCCCACTCTCGACCATGGGAATTCACATTTACTCTTCCTAGGTTATCTCTGCAGAATTCTACTGTGAATATAAAGTGTCACCCCCTTCCAGGCCCCCTCCCCCAGATCCAGGTATAGAAGCTTCAAAGGAACCTCACTTTACAGCTTCACTTGCCCTCATCATCCACATCTTCACCACTGGCACCATCACATCTGTGCCACCCCTGGGTTCTGCACAGGACACACCGTGACACAGGTCAGTGGTGCCTGATGGGACGCTCACAGGTGCCGGAAGTGGCATGACATCCACTGCTCATGGCCCTCTGCATCTCAGGGGCACATCTGCAAGGGCCCAGCACTGCCGTCTGGATGCCTCTTCTCCCCGTTTTAATGCTATCGCCGAGGCCAGCTGATTAGTTCCTTCCGCTCAGTTGCATTCTATGACGATCTCTCGCTGCAAAAGCATTCAGAGGACAAATTGCGCTGATGAGCATATTTCAGAATTTGGTCTGTTTACTTTCCTCTGCTTCCTATTTCATGCTGGCGGGTGGTCTTACACCACAGGCACTGCAGACAGTTCCTTCCTCTGGCTGATCCCTCCTGTAGAGAGCAAAAGGAAAACAAAACATCTCTCCCTAGTCATACATTCTGCAGAGCCCTCGTAGTTAAGTCCTGATTCCAGACCAAAGAGGCTCAATGAGACACCCCCAAACTGCTGCTTCAAAGACAGAAAACAAAGGGGTACCCAGGCTGGGTTTATATGAGGCCCAGGGCATTGGTTGCCTGACCCTCAGCCTTGAGTACCTCTGCAGCCCAAGCAGAGGTACTCTGGGATAGCCAGATGCTAATGAAACCCCATAAATCATTTCTGGCAAATTCATGAAGGGCTTCAGGACCCCACCGTGGGACTCATTCAACCTAGAGAAATCTTGTTTTAATGGTCTCTTCTGTTCTGGAAAGTTCCAGTAAACCACTTCAGCTTAAAGGCAGCATCCATATAGCATGAAGAACCAAAGAACCCTGGTCTTTATGGGGAACCAGCAAACTCCCCATTTTCTAGATCCATGTAAGGAAAACGCCCAAGTGTTTCTTACATTGAAAGGGACTGGAGGTTAGTTCACTTTACAACTGAAATAAAACAAAGTACACTGTATGGTTCTGTAATATAAGCTTATAGGACAGACTAAGCTTATCTATGGGGAAAATATTAAGATGGATGTTGCTTGATGCATGGGAGTTGACAAGGAGGGGTGTATCAAGAACTTCCTGAGCTGATGGTAAAGGTCTGTCTTGATAAAGATTTGGCTTCCAACAGGTATATGCATTTGTTAAAATTTAACAAACATACACTTAAATTTTGTGTGTTTTATTATATACAAATTTTACTTCGAAATAAATCTGTAACAGGTCTTAAAAATCTAGCTAATGAGATCCAAGCATTTAAGGAGAACTGTATTGAAATCTGCAATTTACTTTGAAATGCACCAAAGATAAGATAAATTAGAGGAGTTATTCTGTGGTTCCACATGCAAAATTAGAATTATGGTGTCAGATCTTATGTTTAAGTCTTGAATTAATTTTTGAGTAATTTTAAGTTTTGAGCTAAGTTAAGTTTTGTGAGTGGTATAACATAGAGGCCCAATTTTATTTTTTGCAAGTGGTTTAGTTTTACATCACTATTTGTTGAAGAGATTATCCTTTCTGCAATGAGTGTTCTTGACTTCCTTGTGCATTATTTGTGAGAAGGTAAATTGGGAATGGAAAACAATATAGAGGTTACTCAATATATTAAAAGTATAAGTACTGTATGATCCAGCAATTCCATTTTGGAGTATATATCCAAAGTGAATGAAAACAGGATATTAAATAGATACTTGTTCTTTGTGTTTATTGTGACATTATTTACAAGTCATGACATGGAAACAACTTAAGTTTCTGTCAGCAGATGGATAAAGATGAGAGCTACATACACACAATGAAATATTATTCAGTCATGAGAAAGAAGGAAATATTGTAAAATTTTGTCACCTTTCCACTGTGTGACTTTTTCATTAAAAAAGTCTTTTTTTTTTTTTTTTAGTTTGGACAAAATAGGCAAGAAATTGCAAATTGAAGCAAGAAAGAATCCTTTTAAAATTTTCTTTATGTTAGTATAGCATGGCTAGAACTGTTGTTTAATTCATAATTATCCCAACTTCACTGGATTCACAAGGGTCAGATGTCACAATTTTATTTTAAAGCATCTGTAGCAACAATAGACTCTGAAGACAAAACTGCTTCTTCATCTCATTAAGGGACAAATGTAGCTGTAACTAAAATAAATCCTCAGGCCCCATGTGGCTCATTCAGTGCAACCTCAGAGTCAGAGAAATCAGGGAGATGATGATGGAGCCAGCATTACAATTTACGAAAGAATGGAGGCTCAGGACAGAATGTTCCAGGTGGTGTTATATGAAATCATTGTATCAAGATACTGAAAAAAATAAAAAGCAAGAAAAAAGAAATCCCTTACAAAGCTGAGAAATTCTTCTTTATCCCAACCTCAATAACTTGACTTTCTTAAGAAATTGGAATCATTTTTGAGCAGCGAGAGAATGTCAATGCCTGATCAGTTCAGATTCATTCAAGGCCTCTGCTGTGCCTCTCTGGCTGTTACCTGTTCTACCTCCCCTTTCCAGGGTACCCCAGTAGCTGAGTAGGCAGGGAATTTGTGCTCTTTTCTCTTGTTTTGGGTCTAGAATAAAATTTATAGTTTGGGGTACAGTTGAATTTTGCATCTTTGTTTCAAAATGAGTCTCTGTAAACTTGAATGGGCCTTGTGGACCCTCATAGCTCAGTCTTTGTACAGAATTGCATTTAAGGAGATACAGATCAACATCAACCACAGGGCAATTTTAAAGGAATCCCAACTTTGCCTTGTATCTCTTGAAGAATACTGCCGAGACTAAAGCCCAAGTCCAAACTCTCTCCTTTTGTTTTTCTTTCTTCTATCTTGTGTTTCTCCAGCCTGCTAAACCCCCAAGTGCTCTCTCCAATCTCCCTCCTTTGGACTTCTCTTATTCTTTCTCTGTCTTTTTTAGAGTCTTATTATGTAGATGTTCTTGGCTCTCTGGCTAAATCCTCCTGCTTTTCCACCACTGTAGATTCTCTGATCTTACCCACCCACCCATCCTCCTAACTACATCAAAAAGACTTGAAAATCTGGAGAATTTCTCCTTCAGAATTTCTGTGTGTGCAGAGGAGACAGTAATGGTGAGTAAACAGAGTCAGGTCTGGGTAACCAGAGGTTGAGGGGCAAGAGGGAGATGATAAATGGAAATGTTCACAAATTGTATTCTGAAGATATGTATGAAGTGTCTTTTTAAACGCTTAGTAGGTAAACCCTCCCTGCTCATTTCTTTATCTCCATTTTTAATTAATATTTTATTTTATATAATTCTTACATCATTTTTCATTTTTGCACAATGTATACATTTTCATTTTGGTTATATTCCCCATACAATTGCACCCCCCCTTATTTTGACCCTAGTTCTTCCTCTCCCTGCCCCCACCCCCATTGCGTGTCTCTGGTTTATAGCTGCTTGTTGATTTTGATTTTTGCTTTGTATTAATTAGTCTTTTTCCTGGTCCCTTATTTAGGTTTTCTAAATTCCTGCTCTGAGTGAGACCATTTGGTATTTTTCTTTTTCTTTCTGCCTTATTTCGCTGAGCATGATCCCTTCCAGCGCCATCCATGTTGCTGCAAATGGCATGTGTTTATCTTTTTTGATTGCTGAGTAATATTCCATGGTGTATATGGACCCCATCTTCTTGATCCAGTCATCTATTTTTGGGCATTTGTGTTGTTTCCAAAGCTTAGCTATTGTAAACAGTGCTGCTATAAACATAGGGATTTATTTTCAGGGGCATCTCGTCGAGTTTACCAACTCTTCAGTTTCTAGAGATCTTTCTGCTCAGTGGCTTCCCTGGGCCCAGACCATTTTAACTCCTGGAGCTAACCTGGAATGACCCCAAGCAGTTAGGATCCTCTTCTTTTTCTCAGAAACCCGAATCTCGAGCATGGGAGAGTCTCCAGGGGAGGCCGCTCTCTCTATCAGCTGTGAGCTCATCAGAGTGAGAGTAAAAGTTGTTGCAAAAAAGGGAAGAATTGATTTGGCTGTCAAATAGTGAGCAGGATAAAAAGCCACTGATTTGAGAGCCAGACATTGATCAGGGCTGAAATTCCCTCCATGGACCCTAATCCCCAGACTCGACATTCAGCTTCTTACAGCTGCTGGAGAGGGAGCGGGGTAGGCACTCTGTCCCTGACAAGTCCCCTCCTTGCTTGTTCTGAGTCAAACTGGGGGTCTTAGTCTGACCGACAGTTCTCAATCTCTTGGTGAGAAAACACATCACCTGCCACCTTGGAAAAGACAAGGCATTGTGCAGCCGTCACCAGAGCCCTGGGCTCCTTGTACAGCATTTCTTCAGCCTTTCTTTCTTTCTTTGTTTCTTTGTTTCTTTGTTTCTTGCTTTCTTGCTTTCTCTCTCTCTCTCTCTCTCCCCCTTCCTTCCTTGATTTATTTATTTATTTATTCATACAAAAACTGGGGTATAGGCCAGAGGTGTGGGGGGGTGAGAGGATTCACCAGAGACAGAGTGGGGAACAGAACAGGCACACTGACTAAAACACACTGCTGAGGGGAGCAGCAGGCGAGACAGGAGTGGTCTGCTGCGCCATGTCGTTATCTCCCTGGCCAGCCGGGATCAAACCCGTGCTTCAGAGGCTGCAGACAGCTTCACAGCGCTGCACTCAACTGCCTGTGCCACCAGGGAGGCTCTCATTTTCTTTTTGGTGCAAGCCTCCAAGCATGCATCTGTAACTCAGAGCCAGTTTCCTTCTCTTATAGTAGAGAGAGCTGGGAGCTGCTTATTGCGGTGCCATAGCTTGTTTCGGAGAAGCCAAGGTAGCAGGGGTGGCAGAAGCCCTTCAGCTGACTGATTGTCCCTACCTCTAGGCACACGACCACTTCTGTTTGCACCCAGAAGACCACCCATGTTGGGAAGGCAGATGACACAGACTACGCTGAACAAGGCTGCGGGTGTCCTCAAGAACAATATGGGGGCATCAAGGATCCGGCCAGCTGCGATCCAGTCTGTAGGAACAATCCAGGGGTGTCACCGTTCCTGATGAGAAAGGTGAGAATCAAAAACTGTTGATTGACTGAGCAGCCTGGGGTCCAGACAGAAAGGAAATCTCTTCTTCCGGAAGGAGAAGAATTTTGAAAGGGAGATTCACCAGGGTAGAGGGAAGTAGGAAAGGTAAGTGAGGAGGGGAAACTGCAAATGGGAGTAAAGTCCAGTTTACATACCCACCCTTGGAGGGTGGAGCTCAGCTCTTTTGAAGAGCCTTTGATATCTTGGCCTCCATGGTGTTCCCAACAATTACATGTTTGCTGCTCAGTTAGCAGTTCATCACCAAGTGTCTTGCAGCCTTTCTTTCTGCCATCATCAAAGCACAGTCACATCATCTGTTTAACTCTCACCTCGTGGATGGCCTGTTCCTTGTTCTGAGCACGGAGGGTCAGGCTGGGCTTTCCATGGTCTGGAATTCCACTCTGTGCTCAGCAAAGTCCTGATCTTTACTGGGAAGGCACAGCAAACACTGCCCTCCGTGACATGACCTCCTTGTCAAACTCCTTCCTCCTCAATGAGTTGCCCTGAAGTAGAGTCAGGAGCAATAGCAGATTTTGTAGCTGTCTCCAGATCATGGCTGTGACTAGGAGGGTGCTTCAGCTGGCAGCAGACGGAGGCAGACTGGCCTGAAGATGGGCACACATGCCTTCATGCACTGGCACCTCTTGCACCTTACCCTGCCCTTCCTGACTTCTTGGTGACAAGGGACTGGGCTGGCTGCCTTGCCCACATCCCTGCCCCTCAAAGCCCCCTTGCCTTCACATACCCACGATTGGAAAGTTGACTTCATTTTGTACTTCCCTCCACTTCCCACCTGCCCTCTAGTCTCCTCTCTTGCAGATGGAAATTTCAGGGCTTAAACTAGGTATGTCACAGGCAAATGGGATGAGTTGGTCACCCTGTGCTGTGCCCTGATGAAGGAGAGAGCTGAGCATTATGTTGGCACTCACAATCCTCCTGGAAGCTTTAGTCCAGCAGGACAGGGGAGGAGCAGCACTTCTAACAGGGCTCGGCAGGTGCATGAGGGAGCCCAGACTAGCTGTGTGTCCTGTGGCCTTTCCAGGGAACCATGGGGTCTTCTGTAATTATGGGGTTGTCATGGTTCATTTTATGTGTCCCTTTGCGAGGTCACAAGTTTCCCTAACATGGTCAAGGATAATTCTGGGTAAGTCTGAAGGAGATTAATGTTTGAGCAAGTAGATTGAGAAAGCAGATTGCCCTCCCCATTGTGGGTGGACCCAATTGAAGACCTGAATAGGGGAGGGAAAAAAGAAACGCTGAGTAAGAGGGGACTCGGCTCACCTCATGTAGGCTGGGACAGGGGTCTTTTCCTGCCTTTGGACTGAAACTGAAACATTGGCCCTTCTTGGGCCTCAAGCTTGCTGGTTTATGTACTGAACTTCACACCATCAGCTCTCTTGGGCCACTTGCTGACTGTAGAACTTGGAACTTTTCAGCCTCCATAGTCATGTGAACCAATTCTTTCTAATAAACCTCTGTATAGCCTATTGGTTCTGTTTCTCTGGAAATCCTACAATATGGGGGCTAAGTGTATATGTTGCCCCATCATAGCAGACAAAGGAAATTGTTAAGTTGGTAGAAGTCCAACATTCAAGGGCCAGGCTGCTTGCCACAGGACACTTACTGAACCTTTTAAAGTACATTAATAAAAGTCCAACTTGTTCTTCTATTTCAAATAGAGCAATTATGTCCATATTCCATTGACTTGATTATAACCTTTGTTATATCCTTCTTTGTATCAGAAGACTTGGAAGGTAAATGTGGCCTCCTAAAGGAATTTAATGTTGTGGGAAGAACTTCCACAACAGGAATATAGGAATCAGAGACCCTAGAACAGTTTTTATTAACATTTTGTGAAAGAGTGAACAATTATAAGCTTGGAATCTTTCATTAGAGGAATGCAAATTAAAAACATGGTGAAGATCAATGACTAGTGATGAGATTGAATCAGTAATCAAAAACCTCCCAACAAACAAAAGTCAGTGATCAGATGGCTTCACTGGTAAATTCTACAAAACATTCAAAGGCAGATTAATGCCAATCCTTCACAAACTCTTCCAAAAAATAAAAGAGGAGGGAGTACTTCCAAACTCATTTTCTGAAACTAACAATACCCAGATACCAAAACCAGACATGGATATGAAAAGATATTTATAGGCCAATATCTTTGATGAGCATGCATGCAAAAATCTTCATCTAAATACTAGCAAACCAAACTTAATAGTACATTAAAAGAATAATATACCATGATCAAGTGGGGTTTATTCCAGGGATGCAAGAATTATTCAACATCTGCAAGTCCATGTGATACACCTCATTAACAATAGATGCAGAAAAAGTATTTGGTAAGATTCAGCATCAAGTTATGATAAAAACTCTCAACAAAGTGGATATAGAGGAAATGTACCTCAGTAGAAAAAGGCCATCTGTAACAAGTCCACAGCTAAAATTATACTCAACAGGTGAAAAGCCGATCTTTCCTCTAAGTTTAGGAGCAAGACAAGAATGCCCACTTTTATTCAACATAGTATTAGAATTACTAGCCAGAGGAATTAGGAAAGAAAAGGTATCCAAATTGAAAAGGAAGAAGTAACACTGTCTCTGAATGTGACTTATTATTATATTTAGAAAACCCTGAAGACTCCATTAAAAAAATTGTTAGAGCTAATAAATAAATTGAATAAAATTACAAGATGCAAAATCAATATACAAAAATTGGTTGCATTCCTATATTAAGGACAAACTATAAGAAAGAAATTAAGAAAACAATCCATTTACAATTACGTCAAAAGGAATAAAATGCCCAAGAATAAATTTAAACAAAGAGATAGAGACCTATACACTGAAAACTGTAAGACATGAATGAAAGAAATGGAAAAAATACAAATAAATGGAAAGATATTTTGTCCTCACAAATTGGAATAATTAATATTGCTAAAATGTCCATACTATTCAGAGCAATCTAGAGATTCAATGCAATCCCTATCAAAATTCCACTGGTATTTTTCACACAAGCAAACAAACAAAATCCTAAAATCATGCTCCCTGATTTCAAACTATGTTTCAAAGCTGTAGCAATCAAAAACAGTTTGGTCTTGGCATGAAAATGTATACATAGATCAATTAAAGAAAAGCCCAGAGCCCAGAAATAATCCATATTTATATGGTCAATTAATTTATGACAAAGGAACCAAGAATATACAATGGGAAAAGGACTGTCTCTTCAACAAACGATACTGGGAAAACTTAAGAGTCACATGTAAAAGGATGAAGCTAGACTCTATCTTACATCATACTCAAAAATTAACTTAAAGTGGATTGAAGACTTGACTGTAAGACTGAAACCATAAAACTTCTAGAAGAAAACATAGCTGGTAATTTCCTTAATATCAGTTTTGTCAGTGATTTTTTTAAAATATCTGATATATAAAGCAAAGACAACGAGAACAAAAATAAGAGGCCCTACACAAACTAAAAAGTTACTGCACAGCAGACACCAACAAAATAAAAAGGCAACCTACGGACTGGGAGAAAATATTTACAAATCATATATCTGACAAGGGGTTACTATTCAAAACACATCACTATATAAAGACCTCAACAACTCAATAACAAACAATAATAATACTCCAAACAATCTCTGAAGATGAGCAAAAGATCTGAATAGATATTTTTCAAAGAATGCATAAGATGGCCAACAGGTACATGGGAGGATGCTCCATATAACAAATCATAGGGAAATGAAAATGAAAATCATGATGAGATATCTACCTGTCAGAATGACTAGTCTATACATAAAGATAGGAACCAACAAGCCTTGGTGAGGATGTGGCAAAATGGGAACATTTGTGCACTGCTAGTGGGAATGTAAATTGGAGAAGCCACTATGGAGAAGAATGTGGAGAGTCCTCCAAAAATTAAAAACAGAACTACTTTAAGATGCACAATTCTACTTCTGACTATTCATCTGAAGAAAGCAAAAACACTATCTTGACAAGATATATGTACCCCCTTGTTTATCAAAGCATTGTTTGGTTAAAACTGCTGTGGCTATCACTTTCTTATTGAGGTGTTATTAACAATGTAACATAATGTTACAGGCAAGATATGGAAATGACATAAGTGACCCCTGTTGGATGAATGTGAATACACACACACACACACACACACACACTTATGTGTGTGTATAAAATCTTGCAATTTGCCAAAAGAATGAATGCCCTTTGGAGCATTAAGTGAAATAATAAAGATAGAGAAAGACAAACACCTTATGATCTCACTGATAGTACATTAATAAAAGTCAAACATGCTCTTCCATCTCAATGTGGAATCCAAAAACAAAAAGAAAGAAAAATCCAAGCAAACTTATACTGATAGAGATTGATGGTGACCAGAAGTGGGGGTGGGGATGGAGGAAGTAGGTGAAGGGGGTCAAGAGGTACATTTTATCCAGTGACACAATAAATAAGTCCTCAGGGTGTAATGTATAGCATGGTGATGATAGTTCACAGTACTGTTTTGCATAGTTGAAAAAAAGTTCCTAAGAAAGTAAATCTTAAAAGTTCTTATCACAAGAAAAATACGTATAACTAGGTATGATGACTGATACTCATTAGACTTATTGTGATCGTTTCCCAATACATAAAAATGTGGAGTCATTAAGTGATATACCTAAAACTAACATAATGTTACGTTGTCAATAATACCTCAATAAGAAAGTGATAGCCACAGCAGTTTTAATCAAAGAGATGATAACAGGGAGGCTTCTTTCTCTATCCCACAGAATGTGTAACCTGAAAAGGACTGCCAATGTCGAGTCTTATGAAGATGTGGACAACCTGAATTCTTAGACATTTCTGATGGAAGTACAAATTTCTTCAATCACTTTGGAAAATGATCGGGCAATATCTACTTAAAACCTGAAGGTAGGCCTCCCCTATGAGCTAACAATAATCCTGTTAGATATTTATCTGAAAGCAGGAAAAACATGTGCACAGAAACAGCTGCCCAAGAATGTTCAATGAAGCAATGGAAGGTGACACAGCAATAAGAGCACAGACACTGCACTGAGTGGAAGAAGCCAGTAACTAGAGAGATAGAAACTATTTGATCCCACTTTTATGCAGTTAGTGTGAAACTAATTTATGGCAACAGAAATCAGATAGTAGTTAGCTGGGGGAGGGGAGTTAGTATTCGGAAGAGACATGAGGGAACTTTTGGGGAAAGTTGGAGGTGTTCTGTATCTTTATCTGGTTGGTATACATCTGCAGCAATTCACACAATCCTACTCAATATTTGTTGCTTAAATGTATAAAAAATATGCTTCGTTTTTTTTAAAACACAAAAGGGGCTCAGAAGTCAGGCAGAAAAAATGATGAAAGTCCATCAGGTCTGAACAGGGTGGTATTCCAGACGGTCTTCCTGAGGCCCCAGGTCAGACCTGGTCAAAGTGTGGTTGATGACTGCAGCCAGTCCGCACACTGATATTCCCCCAGCAGGATATAGGACAGGCCTCAAGAGTTAAGTTCAGAGAAGCAATTCAAGCTCCTCGAAAGAGTACTCGTAGCTATTGAATTTACTATGATAAAACGAGGGTTTGTATGTTGCACATATATTTTTTTCATCTCATTCTTCTAATTTATTTTCATTGTATTTTATAAAAATAAGGGACTGCGATGAATCAGAAATTTTACAAAAAGAAACTGGTCTTTCATCATGGGCAGATTGAGGAGCATTTTTTTAAATGCCCAACGGGTGTGTCCTAAAGGAACATATGGAAAAGCTTGGGTTAGGTCTCTCGTAAGTCAGGGGCTGCTGCTGCCTGCACTTGGCAATTTTTAGAGACATTGAGCAAAACAGCCTAATTGTAGTTTCCATAGTTACCAGCCACCACCGAGGAGGAAAGGAACAGATCTTAAAGGGAAAAGCCAAGCACGGGCAGAAGGCAAAAGGCAGAGGAGTGGGGAGGGTGCTGGGTGTCAGAGGGGCGTGGACTGGAGAGGGGGCCACTACTCTACATGGCTGGGCCCATTAGTTGTTATTCTAACCCTGGATGCAGGTGCCCTGAGGATCCAGTGATGACAGATCACTGTTGTTGCTTCCATGAAGGACACTGGCCCAGCCTGATAAGTGTCCTTCTACACACCTGGCAGGAGGGACTGCTCTTAAGTGTCCCACTGCCTGGCCCTGTTCCAGGGCCACTTCAGGAGAGCCACGCTTTTTCTCCACCATGCAACCCACTGCATCTGGACCTCCACCCAAACCGAAGTTAGCAATAAGGGAAGGAAGGCAGAAGGTTTGGTACCAGCCCCACCATCCTCATCTTGGGGTCTGGACTTGAACAAATCTCTGTTTCATGGTCAAACTCTGGGTCACCGCTGCAGACCATCCTCCTCACACATTCATTTACTCATTTGCGCATTCATTTTCCACTCAACCAACACTGCCAGACACTTGCTGAGGGCTAGGCCCTGTCCCAGGTGCTGCTGATACAGGAGAGACCAACAAAAAGAGCCCCTGTCTTCAGGGAGCTTAGAGTCCAGTGTGAGGACAGACAATGGAGTGTGACATGAACTGTAGTGTCAGGCAGTGCTCCCTTGGCCTCAGGGTGGTGTGTGGCGCCAGGTGGGGTTGTGGCAATGTTGCAAACACATGCACACAGTCTTTAGTATTTAAAGGGGTGTGAAGGGCAAATTCACAGTCATATTAAGAAGACAGGGCTTGGCAATGTGACTCAGGATCTTTGTGGATGCCATGAAAGCTAGAGCTCAAAAATGCCCGTTAACTGAAGTCAAGGTGTGAGTCCTCTTGGCCCACATAAACATGTCCTCAATCCAGAGGGAACTTTTTTAAAAAAAATGATTTATTGATTTATGCATACAAGAACTGGGGTATAGGCCAGAGGTGCAGGGAGTGAAAGGATCCACCAGAGACAGAGTGGGGAATAGAACAGGCAGACTGACTGAAATACACAGCTGAGGGGAGCAGCAGGCGAGAGAGGAGAGGTCTGCTTCGCCATGTGGGTCACCTCCCTGGCCTGGGATCAAACTCATACTGCAGTGGCTGCAGATAGCTTCATCGTGCTGCGTCTTAACCCCTTGCACCACCAGGGAGGTCCCCTGAGGGAATCTTTATCCCACTTGGTTTCAAGTATGGGTTTCCACAGGCCATCTGAGGCAGAGGTCACCTTCCTTTCACAAACTCACAGGTGTGTGGCAGGTAATTCCACCCCCGCCCACGTGGGCCTCCAGCCACTTGAGGGCGCTGCTGCTGCTCCTTTGCTGTGAAGAAGAAAGTTAGAAGCCAAGAGAAGGCCCAATGTGGCTTTAGGAAAATATTTAGATTATATGAAATAAGAAGCAGTCCCGCCTCAGAATTATAGGCTTGTAAATCACTCTGGGGAGAGAAAGGGCCAGAGGGGCGGGAGGCTTGGGACGTGAGTTTATGATCTCTCCAGAAGCCCTTGATGGAATTACAGCCTCATAACTCACTGGGGCCTGTTCTTTCCTCCAGCCTGGCTTCAACTCTTACTCAGGGCCCCCCTGGGAAGGCCAGTCAGGGTGCCAGCAAAGACAGACTGGGTTGGCAGAGACCTTAAGCTGCCCTCTTTAGGCTCTCTGGGAAGTGCGAGGGAGGTAGTGGCTGCGATTGTTCATGTGTTGGGCGCTGGCAGCTGGGTCTCCCTCCATTTCAGAGATTAAGTGGGACTGGGTCCAAGTAAGGAACAGAGACCGAAGAGGCAGCCGAGTTACAGGACCCAAATACCAAATGGAAGGGGTTTCCATGGGTTCCGTGGTGGGGGAAGGGGCGTCACATTTTGTAAGGGGCTGACGAACCACAGAGCAAGGAAACAGGGCGTCTGTTTGGATAAGGTGGGGTAGTATGAGGACAACATCCTGGGTCTTGCTCCTGACTGGGCTACATCTCCAGTTGATCCTTTTGCAAAATAGCAACCACCTGCTGCAGACCGAGAGCAGATCATTTGCTGAGGTAGCTGACACTGGTCGTCCCCCAGCTGGGAAGATGTGCCTGCCAGTGTGCTTACCCCTTCAGCTCTAGCTGAGGCCTCTGTCATGCCCAGGATGATAAAAAGGTCATGGGAAATCGATTTCCAGTGGTGAGTTAGTGACACAGCTCAAAATTGCTATCTTCCTTAAGGTGTGCTAGTTACTATGTGTCAGACTTTGTGCACATGATCACACTGTGTTCTCACAACTCTCTCACCAATTATTTCCATTTCACAGACGAGGGGTATGAGGTGTGGTCATGTAAATCCATATCTGAGGGGACACACACATAACGAAGTATGGGATTGGAGATTTGAACGCAGATCCCTCTGGAACTAGTGTGTATCTCACAGGAAGTCTGCCCAGGGTCTCATTCCCGTGAATGGCAGCCCCTAAACCTTTCCATGAACTAGAAATCTTTCCAGCAGAATCTTTCACATTCAAATTCAATCCTCTCCTTGCTGTAGTTCACAAATGCAACCCAATGGCTAGACTTGCTGTTTTCTCTGCGATATCCTTTGCATTTCAAATGCTACCGTGATTGATAATCAATCAACCCATCAATGTGTGTGCATGTGAGAGAGCGAGAGACAGAGGCTGGCTCTGTTTAATGTGTGTTTTAATGCAGCACAGTCATTAAGAGCATAGACTTTGAAAGCAGAGAAACCTAGACTCCCATCTCTGTCTGTCACCTCTATCACTTACCACTGTGGATGTGGAGTTGAAATCGCTTTAAGCCTCAGTGTACTCATCTATAAAATGGGTACAATGATGAAAGATGACAGACGCTGCATAGGGCTGGACCCTGAGAACTGGGTGAGATGATACATGTCAGTGACATTAATGTATCAATTCACTTTATGGCATCATCTCTCTGAGGAGCCCTCTGTGTCTTGGGAGGTGAAGTCCCCTGGCACAGGGTTACAGTCCTACCCAACATTGGTTGTCTCATTTTGATTCCTCCAAATAGCTTATCAGCACTACATTTTCTGAAAGGAGCTAATTTCTTTTTAATTGATAGGATACGGAAGACTAAGGTCATTTAGAAAACCTAGTCTCCGGGATCGTTTGGTTTCATTACATGCTCCCCATCAGGTACCTGATCTTGTGGTCCAGAGCTCTTGAGAAAACAATGGGCATTTATCTTATTACTATGTACCTGGCGTTGAGTTCAGAATAAAAGAAATGTAAGACCTGGTCTATTACTGAGCTGAGGAGGCAGGGCATAAAAATGGTAAAATTATTAGGGAATAAAGTTATCATGTTCATATCAGCATTGATTCTGTTAAAATAAAGTGCTGAGTGGTGCATTGCAGGCAATTAGAGGCTACCGCCATCCAGAATAAGGTGCTAATTGCAGGCGCAGAGGAGAGAAGCAGAGGTACCTGGAAGGTTAAGCTGCCACAAGTCCTTCTGGGAAGTCATCTGAGCATCTGACGAGTCAGAGGCGGGGTGCCTCACCCACATCCACGTCCTGTGTGGCTATGATGTTCTTTCCTTATCCCACATAGGTCACAACTTGCCAGGTGGAATAGAGACTTGGTTTCATTGTAAATGAAGGCAAGGAGAAGAAATGCACGGACTGTATGTAGCCAGTGATGGAAGTAATGGAAAAATGAAGAGGTAGCGGAAAATTGAGGGCTCTTACCAAGAAAATGTCTTGAAATGGCTTTAATCTTGCTCTTACAGCATTTTAAAGGGTCTAAAGGATTACAGATTGTGTTGTAGACCTCCCATGCGCCCCACTTTATACCTTCTTGACCCATCTTTTAATTCCAGCTATTGCCATAGCAACCAGGTAGCCAGCCCAAAGCCTGGGCATCTGCTTTAAGGACAGATGCTGCCTCTGCCTTGCCCAGGGATCCTCTGCTCCTACCCCTGTGGGCCCCTGGGTGGGACCTAGACGTTCTATACACCTG